ATAGCACTGTAGTGGAAAGATATAGTGCTTAGAAACGAGGTTATTGCGGGAGGGAGAAAAGAGTTTTTACATTCCTAGTATAGTTCTATACATATTTGGTTACAAAAGTGAGGCAGTTCACTAAAATCATCCAGATTCCCCAAAAATGTGATTTACATTGTTGTTAATTTCCCTGAGGAAAGTAGAATGCAAAAAGAGTTTTTGGACGATTGGAACGATCCCGACTATCATATGGGCACTGGGACTTAACATTACCAAAATATAGTTGAAGCTGCTCTTTACACGCTCTTTAAAGATTTTCACAGCATCGATCTCATCCAGACCACCAAAATTCCTTCTKATTGCATGTTCAAGTTCTGACCAGTCCAACATGTCACCCTTATCAGCAGCGATGCTATACACCATCTTGACAAGACTACCAAACAAACAAAAAATACAAATAGTATTACAGTCAAAAGACATGAAGCGTGCCCCCTCAAAACACCATTATTGAATTCATTATTCGAATTGAAACTTCGAAATTTGATTGGATTATTGATCGGATTTTCATAAATCCTTCTTCGTATTTTGCCTGTAAATATGCTGGTCCTTTGTAATTTCCACAAGCCGATGCATTGCAATATACTGTCTATTAATTTGGTTGGACTGATCTGTTCCTTCTCGTGAGAAAGGAATGACGGTCTCAAAAAGCTGGAAATGCTGTGTTGTTTTCTGTCATTATCAGAAATCGAGATTGGAATTTAATTTGCATTAATCAACTGAAGTTTGAAAATAAAAAATAAAATGAAAAATCTAATAATTCATTGAATAACGAGCTATTCGGGGGGCGCGCTTCATGTCTTTTGATTTTCACAGCACTGGTATCCAGCTAAATCCTGTCAAATTTATTTATTTATTTTTCATAGATTTTGTAAAATCACTTAGATGGTATCACATGGATTTCCGTATATTTACAGAGGTAACGATCCCTAAGATTAAGTTATTGCAAGGTTAAAAAAGAACCATGATATATATTACCTATAGAAATCACGCAATCCAAAAAACTCGTCCCTCTTTGAGTTGCTGAGCGACTGAAATGTTTTTTGTCTTTTATACAAATCAGCATAACCATCAGCAAGCTGYTTAAGTAACCTGGACAATATGGTCCTTATGTCTTCTCTTGCGGCGCAAATTCCCCTGTGAATTAAAAAWYMAMMAAWTT